GGGTGGGGGGGAGGAAGAGTATCGCCCCATACAGACTGGCGGGGGAAGCCAGGTGCCAGGGCTGTAATGCCCCTAGCTGCCCCAAGGGGGCACAGAGGACACTGGGGTAGGGGGGCAGCGCAGAGGGCCTGGCCCTATGCAAAGCAGGCACCTGGGTGAGCAGCATGGGGGCCCTCATGTAAGAGCTCTCATGCGAGGGCCCCGGAGGCAAGCAGGCGACACAGGGGGTGGGGGGGCAGCGGGGGGCCAGCCCCCGCCCTCAGAAGGGGCAGAGGCGCTGGTAGGCCAGGTAGAGCAGGGCCATGGAGCACATGTAGAAGAGGGCAAAGGGAGCCAGGGGTGGGGGAGCGGCAGGCGGCGGGGGGTCCTCCGGGTCCGGGGGGTGCAGGCCGGCGGGTGCCGGAGGCAGGGCAGCCTGGGCGTGGCAAGAGACACACATGGCAGCATTAGCGCAGCAGACCTGGGCCTCCAGATCCACCCCCCCTAAAGAACCCAGGAGTCCAGGCTCCTGGACCCCCACCCCAGACAACTCAGGCATCTGAGCTCCCAAACACCCCTTCACTCCCCTCCTGGAGAACCCAGGCAACTGGGCTCCTCCCACCCCGCAGTTTGACAGGCCCTGGCCCCCTCCTAGAGAACCCAGGAGTCTGGGCTCTTGCCCCCCAGCTCCCCTACCCCATGCTGGCTTTGGGGCTGGGCTGCCTCAGGGCACTGTGGGAACCTGCAAGGGCCCCTGGCTGTTCCCCATCTCCCCAGCCTAGGCCCTGCCTCCAGGTACCTCGGGGACCCCCATTCGCCGACAGGCCTCCAGGAAGCTCTCCACGTTCTTGCGGCTCTTCACAGCATTCAGCTTTGGCTGCAGAGGCAGAAGCTCGGGATGAACCCAGGCATCCGGGCCCAGAGGCCCCCCGCCACCCCCAGGCCTGGGGGAAATCCCAGGCGTCTGGGTTCCCCAACTCACCACAGCAGGGGAGGGCACGTGGATGAGAGGCACAGAGCGGGGCCGCAGCTGATTAGCCAGCTGGCACAGCACCGCCCCATTGGCCAGCGCTGCCCCCAGGTCCTCGCCCAGCGTTACTCGCACCCGCGACTCGATGGCCTGCGTGGAGGAGGAGGAGGAGGAAGCACGACAGGAGCAAGCGCTAAACCCAGAGACCACACTCACATCCCCACCCCTCTCAACAGCCCTGCTCTCACCCCCCAGCCCTCAATTCCTCTCCTAAAGTGGAGAAGAACCCAGACCTACAGGCCCCCTCCCTGCCCAATCCCCTGATCCCCACCTGGCGCAGCTGAGCCATTAACTCCTTCTCATCCAGGTCTGGGGTGGGGTCTGGAGGAGCTGCAGCTGGTGGGGGGGGGGCAGGGGAGGGTTAGAGGGGTTGGGGGGCCCTGAGCCCCCCCCCAGGGTAGGGGTGGGAGTGGGGGAGGGGCACGTACCCAGGCTGGGCCGGACGGCACTGCGGGAGGACGAGCGAAACAGGAAGCTGCTGGGCCGAGGGGCAGGGCCAGGGTCCCGGGACGCGGGGCTGGTGCTAGGGGGTGGCTCTGTGGAGGAGAAGATGGAGGTCAGAGTCAGAAGGAACCCAGGCATCTGGGCCCCCCACCCCCAGAGAACCCAGGCCCACATGGAACCCAGGCATCTGGGCCCCCAACCTTCACACCCCAGGGATCCCAGGCATCTGGGCTCCCCAGCCCTCACCCCTAAAGAACCCAGACGTTTGGGCCCCAGTCCTTACCCTGCAGTCGAGGGGCTTGTGGGGGGCTGGGAGGCTGCTCTGGTCCCTACAGCAGAATGGGGGGGGGGGGGGGGGGGGGTTGGTGTGTTGGGCGGGTTGATGTCATGGTCGGAGTCACCAGGCCTGGCCACCAAGCCCCAGCCCCACCCCCTCACCTGGGTCCGAGGCTTCTGCCAGCCACTCTCTGCCAGACTGCTGAGGAGATGGATAGGTGACTCAGCCAATGGGGAGGGAGGAGGCAACCAGGAGCCACCCCCAGGGGGATTTGGGTGCCAAGCCCAGGGGGATTTGGGCAGTGTACCTGCCAGGAGCGAGGCCAGAGCTGGTGCGGGGCATCCTCCGGAAGCTGCGTGAGACACAGGGGTTACAGGGGTCCCCAGGGGGGTTCCCATGGGGCCAGCAGCCCCCCCTCCCCCGGTACCTGTTGTGCGTCTCCAACGCCTGCTGCTGCCGCTCACGCTCCTGCCACAGCTGCAGGATCTCGGGGCGACGCCGCTCCTCACCAGGGGGGTCAGGCCTGGGCAGGGTGCTGGGCGGGGGGCTTGGCTCCACTTTCGACTTCTCCTGAGGGCCGAGGAGAAGAGGCAAGGCGTGGGACCTAGGTATACAGGCTCCCAGTGCCCTACCTCCCCTCCCAGAGAACCCAGATGTCCGGGCGCACCTCGGGCTTGGCTTCCTCATCCTCCTCCCCATTCACACTGCTGTCGATGAAGTCGATCTGCTCCAGGTCAGTGTCTAGGGCTGTGGGGAGGAAGGGGTTAAACTGGGTTGGGTGTAAGAGGCACTGCCGGAGCTGGGGTGTCAAGGGCTGTGGATCAGGAGCGAGGGGTCCCATGTAGCCACCCAAAGGCCCTGTCTGCCCACAGAGCCGAGATGGAACCCAGGCATCCAGTCCCTCCCAGTGGCCCCCTACTCCTCTCCCACAGCCAGAAGAGAACCCAGGTGTCGAGGCTCCCTGCTCCTTCCCACTTCCCTCCCAAAGCTGGCAGAGAACCCAGGTGTCTGGTTCCCCCACCCCCATTCCAAACCCCTCAGCCCTTAACCCTGGTTAGAGAACTCAGGTGTCCAGGTCCCCTGCTACCCCCACCCTGCTCTGACCCAGTGAGCCCTCTGCCCCTCCTGGAGCAGAAAAAGAACACAGGTGTCCGGAAGAAGGGGAGATAAGGGCTCACCTGTCCCACAGGTCCGCGGCAACCGGGGGTCCCGTGTCAGCTCGGCCACACGGAAGGACAGTTCCGAGAATTCCTCGGGGGCTGTGGGTCAGGAGTGAGGTGCACCAGCTGGGCTGGGAGTAGGATCCAGACCCCCTGAAAAGCTAGCCCAGGGGCAGGGTGTGAGAAGCTACCAGAGGGTCACTGGGGGTGGCTGTGGCACTAGTGGGGGGCTAAGGGTTGGGGGGGCCGCACCTCATTGAATGACCAGCGCTTGCTACCGCTGTCCACGCTGTTGAAGCCAGAGTCAAGGCCGCCATGGGGCCGTGCCGGGTAGAACTCATCAGGGAGCCTGGGGCGGGGAGGCAACAGGGCTGATGTGTTCGTAAAGAACCCAGGTGTCTGGGCTCCCAGCCTACCCAGCCCCCAGCACAGAGTACCCCATCACCCCCACTCCCCATCCCAGGCCTTCAACTCCCCCTGCCCAGACCTGCCCGCACCACCAGGACCTGGGATAGAACTCAGGCTTCCGGGGACCCCCTGCCACACTCCTCACCCATTGGGCCGAATGCTGGGGTCAAGCCCTGCCTTGCCACAGGCCTCGATGTTGAGGTACTTGAAGATGTGGAACTTCCCTCGGAGACAGACCTGCAGGGGGGCAAATAAGAGGGGCCCAGGGGTAGATGCAGGGGGGCACATCCCATGTTGGGGGGGTCCCATGCCACGACCTTTGAGCTCCCTGAACACCCTTCCCCCCAGCCTGTGTGTGCACTCTATGCCCCAGATCAAGGCCTGCCCCGGGGTACCTGCCCCCCTGCCCCCAGGGTACCTGGGCGGGGGGCGACTGCAGGGGGTTGTTGTCCAGGAGGATGGTCTGTAGGTGGCGCAGGTGCCGGTAGCTGGCAGGGATGCGGGAGACATGGTTACAGGAGAAGTCCAGGCGCACAAGGGGCAGCTCCGACAGCTCTAGAGGGGGGCGATTAGTGGGGTCAGGGGGGGGGGGGGGAGAGCCCCCAACCACACACAAACAACCACACACACCCAAACCAACATACCCGGGGGCCTAGACCCCCCCTCCCTGCCCCAATCATATGGTACTGGCTGCCCCCTGGGGGGGTGTAGATCCCCCCCCAGCCCCAAACACATGGCATTACCTGCCCACAGGGCCGTCCCTAGGAAGGTCAAATTGGAGCACCTACCCTGGGCTACATGCTTTGGGGGCCCCTGAGAAGCTGGGCAGAGCTGCCGCAGCCCCTCTTGCAGGGCCCACCTAGTGCTGCTGACTCTGCCTGATTTGCCCCGGGTCCCACATCCTGCTAGGGTCGTCTCTGCCTTCCCATGGGGGGTTAGATGCCCCTGCTGGCCCCAGTCACATGGTACTGCCTGCCTTTGGGGGGGGGGGGTAGACACCCCCAGCTCCACTTGCTTAGTACTGGCTGCCTTGGGGGAGTGTCAAATACCTCTCCCACTGCAAACCAGCATGGTACTGGCTGCCACCCCCAGGGCATCATGGGAATGACTCTCCCCAAGCTCTTCTGCCCCCACTGAGGGGGGGGTTAACCCCTTTCTGCCCCCCCAGGCCCCCAGACCTTCGGGCAGGATGGCCAGGCGGTTGCGGCGCAGGTTCAAGTCCCGCAGCGCAGCCAGGAATGCGACGCCACGCGGCAGTGCCTGCAGCTCGTTGCAGCTCACATCCTGCAACAAGGGGCAATTTGGGAGGAGCATTAGCCCCTGCCCCCCAATCATTCCCCCCCACAGATCCCCAGCACCCACCAGCTGGCGCAGGGCACGCAGGGCGCCGATGTCGTCGGGCAGCACCACCAGCTTGTTGTTGCTGGCAATGAGCACACGCAGGGGCAGGCGGCATAGGCAGGCAGGCAGCGAGGACAACTGGTTGCGGCTGGAGGGGGGGAGCAAGGGGGTGCAGTTATTTGGCCCTCTAACCTGTCCTGGCCCAGGGCATCATGGGAATGAGCCCCCCACACCCCAGAGCATCATGGGGTTGACTCCCACCAGCCCTCCTGCCCCAGGGCATCATGGGGGGGGAGCTCCCCACACCCCAAGGCAACATAGGAATGACCCCCCCACCCCTACTGCCCCAGGGCATCACAGGAGTGAACCCCTGCTCCCATCCCAGGGCAGTGTGGGAATGATGCCCCCCACCCTAAGGCATCATGGGAGTGACCCCCCCACCTTCCCCCAGGGCCTCCTGAGAGGGACCCCCACCTTTCCCACAACACTGGGGCCTCAGGGCATCATGGGAATAATACCAAATGCTATTGTGGGAGCGATTCCCCTTCCCTTCTGGGCCCGGGGCATGAGGGGAATGCCCCTCAGGTGCTGAAGCCTGTCCCCACAAAGGGCTGGGGGTGGTGCCTGCGGGCAGGGGTGCAGCCTACCTGAGGTTCAGGTAGGTGAGAGCCTGAAGGTTGGCAATGGCAGGTGGAATGCTACGCAGGCAGTTGTGGTAGAGGCTCAGCCCTTCTAGGGCCACCAGCAAGCAGGCAGCCACCG